CAGCTCCCATGCCCAGAATTCAGGCCCCATGACCAACAACAAAAAAAAAAGCTTAATATATTAATACATATAAGCATTCACTTCCACCAATTACATATATATATATATATATATATATATATATATAAACTTCAAAGAGAAATATAGTAAATAGCAAGCTTTAGATCTAAACCACCTACTTCAATGTCTTTTTTAAATAATCAAATGTTGACAATGAAATTTCATTTTCTTTTATCATTATATTTTTAGTATAACACCTCTACACGATTTCTCCCGTTTATGTCCTCTCTCTCTCTGATCTTAGTAAAGCACTTGATTATCTGAATGGAACTTATTAGAGCAGAAGCTTCATATTTCCTCCCAGCAACTATAGTGCAAACATTTGATCTCTTCAGTCTCTGTCTAATTTTCAAGTTCCCAGCCTCATGTGAGATTTCCACCCTCAGACTTCTCCAGTGCCTTTCTCTCAAGACACAGAAGGCCAAGGAATGAGAAGTGAGAATTCAGCTCCTAGGGAGGCTTTGATGTCATGATATGTTTCCTCCCCAAATCATGTTATCTTTACAGAGGTGAAGGGATAGATGATGGGTGGGTAGGTGGGGAAGAGACAAGTATTAGGAAATGAAAATAAGATAGTGAAAAATGGTTCTGATGGTCTGTCTGAATGAAGCCATAATGTATTAAACCCTTTGGAATTCTATACACATTTGTGAGACAGTATCTTTTTATTATCTTTGAATAGATTTGCAAAGGAGTTGCCACTTAACAGAACAGTTTATCTAACCTTTGGCAACAAACAGTATATATACTCAATATTGGCTAAGTAAGTGAATCTAGTTGAATACTTTGTTATTATCAGTAAAAAGTATTTAAATAATTAAATATTAAATAATTTAAAATTATTAAAAAGATACTTTCCTGGAGAAAGGCCATTACTTAGAATTAAAAATAGGTCTCAAGTTTTTTAACACCTCTTCCCACCCCAATTTAAGGCCTTTTCATTTATTAGGACTATTCTTTTAAAGGCAGTGTTGATAATCATTCTGATAATAGTTGTTTGTACAAGAGTTCACATATTCATATGTATGTGAGGGTTTGTGAGCATATTCAATGTATATGATGTCAGCCATCTAGTTTCATTTGAAAGTTGCATATCTACAATGATTTTGTGGGCAAGATGTGAAAAATCAGGCCAATCCAATGGATGTAACCAACTGAATTATAAAGTAAGTGGACTTTAGGAGCTAAATTTCCAAGCCTTTTGAGAATGACTTGATACAAGCCTAACCTAAAGACACCCAGGCACTGGTGATGTAAAATAAATTGTAAAGAGGTGTTTGGATATCTTGTAATTGTTTATACAACCAGATTAAACACAGACTTACATTGAGACACACACTACGGAATAACTGACGTACTTTGGGAAACATGGAGTTGGTTATTTAATTTTCTTTAAGGGTGAACATCTTCATAAATCATATTTACTGCTATGTTTTAGAAGTTTATCCAAGGTAGTTTTTAAATATCAGCCTGACACATCTTACCTCATGGCTGTAGTATGTCTAAGGAAGGAGCAACCGTTGGCCCATTACAAGTTTTGTCTCTGTGTTTAAAAAAAAAAATTGCTTTACTTCTTTTGGAAGAATTCAAACAAGGAATACCAAAGCTATCCTTATCCTTTTTCCCTTCCAGGAGTTTATTGTGAAATGTAATTTACTTTTTTTTCTCAGAAACCACACATTTTCTTAGTAGCAGCACACTTCCTACTTCTGATTAAGATCAGCCTTTGTTCATTTATGGTTAGCATGAGCTGTAGCATCCAAGTAATAGCAAAGTGGTTCAGAAGAATTCAGAGCATAATTGGTTTAATAATTTTGCTTTGAAGAGAAGAAACTTAAATGTCCTCAGCATGGCATAGAGTCTTCCAGATTTCCAGACTCAGGGTAGTCATCAGCATGGCAAAGTCATGGGAATGTCAGGCAAATGGGGAAATGTAAGATGTGGTTGGGGACTTTCCACTTCTTGTTGGCCCTTCTCCTTTTGTGTCTGATTTTAACTGCTGTCATGCAGCCTTCTTTAGGGCTTCAGTGGGCTTGTCCTCCCAAGCTAGCTTTTCAGGTTGTAGAGCCCACCATACTTAATCCACCTAATGTACATCCACATATGTTTTCCTCATGTCTTTCCCCTGGAGCAATCTGGGTTCTGCCACACAAGGGGACCCACGGCTCATTGACTGATGTCCTGTTTCCAACACCTGTGTCTTTTAAATAAAACAACTTTAAGTTTAAGGAACTAAGACTTAAGAAACTGTGTCTTATAGACTTTTAATATAATGTTGATTTTAATGTCTCGTTAAATTGGAATTACTCTTTGTAAATTAAGCTTTTGGTTCATTCTTTGGGTTCACCCCATTTCTACCTTTCTGCCTTTCATGACTAAAATCACTTCAGCTAATTGGAACCAGCAGGGACCGGGGAGTAGTTACCGTTCTAGTTTCATTCTCTAAGATGACCGAACACCTACTCTATTTATTTTTGGAAAAAATTGACTGATGGGGTGTGTGGCACTCTGAGAGTGACTTTGGTTGGCTCTTTTATTAGATGTCAAGAACAAGTTAAGTAAAAACCATATTATTAAAATCATTAGATATGAAATACCTTTTTTTCCCAGGAAGCTTTCTGGTAAAGCAAAAATAGCATGATATGAAGTAAGGACATCAGAAATCAGTAGCTCTTCAAATAAATAAAATAATGGTCATAATAATTACTTTGAGGTGCTGATAGTACTGGGGTTTGAACTCAGTGCCTTGTGCTTACTAGACAAGCAGCTGAGCCACACCTCCAGTGCTATACTCCCCCCTACCTATGACCTCCCACATTGCTGGGACCACAAGAATGTACTACCACACCTAGATTAATTGTTCAGCTAGGGTCTCATGAACTTTTTGCTTGGGTTGGCCTTGAACTGTGCTTCTTCTTTAAGGCCTCCCATGTAGCTAGGATTGCAGGCCTGGGTTACCACACCCAAAGTCAAGAATGTCTATTATGAATTGCAAAAAAACCCAACTTAATCTATTTTATTTTTCTTTGAGCTTCTCATGGAGAAAAGATATTTCTCTCACTTTAGAGTTCAATGATCTCTTGAGTTCCTCAGGTATTTCTCTAGAGATCAATAATGATAATCCACATTATTCTTTAATTCCCTTAAACTACAGACAAATAGTTGCAAAATGCCCAAGTATTTCTGTTAGAAATAAAATGTAATAAAGTCAGCCTGAAGCAAGTTTTAAGGTACGATCACTCCTAATTTATAAAGCAGCATGTCTCACGGTTTCACACTGACACTGTAGGTTTCAGTGGATATTATTGTCATTGTCTCCATTTTCTAGACAGGAAACTAGGATTCAGAGAGTGAATTGCCACAGGTTTTATATAGCAATCGTGTGACAGACCAGGACATGGAGAAACTGGTCTTCTGACTTGCAGCCAATTCTTTTCTCTAACAATAAGGATTCTTTAGAACCTCAAGCTAGGGAAATGCTTTCTATATCAGCCAAAGGCATGTGTGACATTCTGGGCAGGCAAAATATCCAACCACTATAAAAAAGCAAAGAAAAACTTCATAATTCAGACTTTCTTGCTGGTGTAAAATTTTTAGATCAGCTTTATTCAGCTTCATGGAGTATTTCACAAATTCTTTTATTCATTCAAAGAGTATTTACAAAATACTGTGTTTGTATTTGGAATGTTATTTACTATCTGCTATCTAGTCTCTATGAGTGAATAACAATGAAAAAAACCAAAATCCTGCTGTTCATGGAGCTTTTATTTCACTGGGGAAGAAAGAACACACAATAAATGATAAGCTTTAAAAACAGGTAGGTTATATCATAGGACAGACTGATCACTTCGGTATGGCAAAAAGTAGAGCAAGATAATGAGATTGGGAATAGTGGAGATTTCTGAAATTCCATAAACCCTCTGCTGATGCTTTTCTTGGATCTAGTTATTTTTATGCAGCTTGGGAAAGAGTGAAGCTTCCTTAGGATTAAAGTAGTAAGATACATGTAATTTGAAGAGCCACATGCTTGCTGTCAGAGTAAAGAGAGCCTAGAAAAATAAACAAAATTGTTTTGTATCCAGATAATCCATTTCTACTATTGGTCCCAACCCCCAGACTTCCTGTCTTAATCCCCAGTACCACATTCTACCACTTCCTTAACTCTCATGCCTCAGTCTTTGTTTATCTCAGAATATGAAGAAGGCCATGGTTCTACTTGCCATCTAAGGGCAGCTTCCAATTATCTCCATTTTCTAGATGCTTTCTATCATCCTAGAGATGAAATGCAATCCCAAACCCCCTGCTCCAGTGTGTATGGAAGTTTTATTTTGTGTTCTGCCCATCTTTACTTTGTCATATTCTGGTTTTCACCCTTACTCTTCTGTGTCCTCACATTCTCTAGGCTGTCCACAATCTCCCTTTCATTTTGCCTTATCATTCACAGTCACTTTATTACTACTGTGGTATTCAGGAATTTGTCAGTGGTCCTCTACACACTTATATTTATTCTATTCCGATAATGAAATCTCAGAATTGGAAGGGATTTGCAAGGTCTTTTAGTTTTTATTTAAACAAATACAGACTTGAGCTTCATAGACCAGATATGACCCACCTCCTCCTGGCCTAAATATCATGTGTCAATTTACATGACTCAGCCCATGACCAGAACCATAGTGTCTCTCTCCTAAATCAGACTAAATGATACTATTTCAAAGATGAAATAAGAGACATGAAAAGAGAGAGAATCTACAATGCTAAAATGTTATCTCTCCTTCCTGTTTCCTTCTTGTTGCTGTATAACATATATCAATATGTATAAAATGTACATATATATCAGCTATAAGTCATAACACTGATTTACAATTCCTCAGGGTTATGAGATTTGTAGTCTTCCCCTGTTGCCTGGGAAACAATGATTTTAGTCATCTGGTACGGCCTGGATGGGTCAAAATGGCTTACCTCACATGCCAGACAGTTCGTGGGAATCCACAAGCAAAGCTTCTGATCTCCATGTGGCCTCTCATCCTCTCTTAGGCTACACTAGTCCTCACAGCATGGTGTTTTCAGATGTCCAAAAAAGGTAAAATGGAATCCACAAGTCCTTTCAATTCCCATGCTCAGAAGTCAGAATGTCATTTGTACTGCATTCAGTTTATTAAACCAAATCGCAGATTCAACAGTAGTAAACTAGATTTCTCTTTTCCCGAAGCAATGAAGGACACAAAGTCATGTTACAAAGGTGTACAGAATTCTTTATCATCAATAACACTTGCCGACCTCTTGACTGGGTTATCTGGAGCCATTTCTGGAGGATGGAGACCTTTTTCTTTTTTTTTCTTTTTTCTTTTAGTTGTGAAAATACTGTACAGAGGGGTTACAATTACATGGTCAAGATAATGAGTACATTTCTTATCAAGCATTGTAGCCTCCTCCTTTGTTTCCCCTTCCTATCCCATCCTCCCCCCACTCCCCCAACCAACCCTCCTCCCCCCACACCAAAGTTGTAAAGTTCGTTTTCGACATAAGACTTGTACATCTCATTGTTGCAATGGGTCCACCTGTAGAGACCTTCTTTAAGGTGGCTCAGTGGTAGAGTGCTTGCCTTGCATGTGTGAGGCCCTGGGTTCGATTCCTCAGCACCACATAAGCAGGAAAAAAAAGCCGGAAGTGGCGCTGTGGCTCAAGTGGTAGAGTGCTAGCCTTGAGCTGAAGAGCTGAGGGACAATGCCCAGGCCCAGAGTTCAGGCCCATGACCGGACTCCCCCCCCCCCACCAAAAAGAAAAAGAGTATAAGACCTTCTTTATTTTAAAAACAAACCTGTTATTCTGGATCCACACACACCCTACCTGCCTGCCATGGGACTCATCTCTTTCCTGCAGCTGCAGCATTTTTCTTGTCATTCCTAATTTTTGAAGCATCATTTAACCATAGAGGTTTCTTTGATAAGTTTAAGCTTTCTTCACTCATTAGCTTGCTATTCTTCTGGGGAAGGGGGACATAAACCTACATTTATTAGCATAGCCAAGAACTTGAAGTTAGCTGCAAATTCATGGGGCCATTCTTACCTCCATTTTTCCCCCCATCAGTCATAGGGCTTTAACTCAGGGCCCGGGCGCTGTCCTTGAGCCTCTTTGTGCACAAGGCTAGTGCTCTACAACTTGAGCCACAACACCACTTCAATTTTTTGACTGATTATTTGGAGCTAAGAGTCTCATGGGGACTTTCTTGCCTGGGCCGGCTGTGATCCTTAGATCTCAACCTCCTGAGTAGTAGGATTATAGACATGAGCCACCTGCTCCTGGCTTTCTCCTACACTTTGATTCTCCTTTCTTCTCTGCCTTCTATGACACCCCTATTTCTGACAGCCCCTCTCTTTGATCACTTCTCACATCTAATTTTCTTCGTCTTTGTAAGTTTCTTCCTTCCCCTATTTTTCCCACATATCATCTTTCAGCTTTCTTCTTACTCTGTTTTCTTTCAACATGGTAATGTTTACTGTTAGGGTCCCAGCCAAGCTCCAATCATGCTCACACATGTTCTCCTTGCTTTCTAAGATGTTCCTAACAAGACTGACCTCAGTTTTCTACAAATATAACCCCTTAGTGCCCTTGCTTCCTCTCCTCTTAACATTTTCAGCATAGTAACTTCAAAAAAAGAAGCATGCCTCTACCAAAGGCTTTGACTCAAATATGCTTTGGGGAAATTCCAAACTTAGAATATAACACAAATGTTTATGGAACCAGTGTTTCTTTCCTCTCTTTGTACTTAAGTCATAGTCTCATCTGGATTGTTTAGTAATTGTTACCTTCTCCCTCTAACTGATTTTGTTCTCTTGAAATTTACACATGTCATTGCAGGCAAGTAAGCTTTATAATTAATGATCATGGCACATTCCTTTAGAAAAGCTTCAGCAGAAACCAGGTATGGTGACACATGGCTTTAATCACAATGCTTCTGAGACTCAGGCAAAAGAATTGTGGTTTAAAAATGGTCTTGGCTACATAAAAATTTTCAGACCAGCCAGAGTGGACTAAATATTAAGACCCTGTTTCAATTTTTTAAAAATAATAGAAGTTCAGTCCTGGTAAAAAGTTTGTGAGTTTCCATCTCATCAAAGAAACTGCAGTGGTGGACCACACAACAAAGGTGACCAAGCTCTCCTCCCATTCAATATTGTGCTAGAATTCCTAGCCAAAGCAATAAGGGAAGAGAAAGAAATTAAAGGGATACGAGTAGGAATAGAAGAAGTGAAACTATTTGTAGATGATATGATTCTATATTTAAAAGATCCTAATGACTCCACCTAAAATCTCTTATGTATGTTAAACACTTTTGGCAAAATATCAGAATAACAAATCAATGTAGAAAGAGAATAGGCTCACTTATATTCTCTAAATTGTTTTTAAGTATAAAGCCGGTTTATCCAGTCATTTACATAAAAGTAGAAATATTAGAAAAACTTGTCATAATTACAACATATTTACATTCTGGTGTATTCTTTTTCAATCAATATATTACTTAGATGTTAATTGTTTAATAATCTGAAATGAAGTTACAACAATAATAACTAAAATTTAGATTGGCCTAGTATGCACCAAATAATTTTCTAAGCATTTTACATACATTAACCCACTTAATTTTCATGATGAACCAATGAAATTGATACTTCTGAAATTCCTTAAAGGTTTGCAAACTTTATTTATTTATTTCTCTATCAGTTTTTTTGTGTTTGTTTGTTTTTGTCAGTCATGAGGCTTGAACTAGTGGCCTGGGCCCTGTCCATTAGCTCTTTTGTTCAAGGCTAGTGCTCTACTACTTTGAGCTACAGCTCCACTTCTGGTTTTTGAGTGGTTAATTATAGATAAGAGTCTCATGGGGACTTTTCTGCCCAGGCTGGCTTTAAACCATGATCCTCAGATCTTAGCTTCTTGAGTTACAAGGATTACAGGCATGAGCCACTGGCACCCGGCTAGTTTTTTCTTTTTCTGACATTACTTATTTATCATTTTAAAGTAATTGTAGAAAGAATGTGCTGTTTAACAAAGTTTATGAATATAATGCCCCTTAATCATTATCACCACCTTCAACATTCTCACCCCCCTTCAACACACTCCTTCCCTTATTTGTTTTAATTTGGGGGTATATACAATGAATTCTTGACTGAATTCTCCTTTTCCCCCTTCATTCATGTACACTTCTCTCTTTGTTCCCACACTCTCTTTTGGATGTATCTATTTCCTGATTTGAGTCCTCAGTGAGGTGGTTATACTTCAGTTCTTTCATTTGTAACCACTTGCATAGGGCCCATCCCATGTGTTTACTTCTAGATTTATAGGTACAGTCTACCACAAATGAAGGAAATCATGCAACCTTTGTTTCTCTGGGGTCTGGCTTACTTCACTTAATATAATTTTTTCAACTCTTTCTATTTCCTTATAAATGGCACAATATCATTCTTTCTAATAGATGAATAAAATTCCATAGAACGTTTTCTTGATCCATTCATCTACTGAGTTTTATCTGAGCTGATTCCATATCTTGGTATGGTAAATAGAGCTGCAATGACCATGATTGTTCTGGTAGCATTACTATAATCTTGGATGGTGTTCCAATGGGTGAATGCCCATAAGTAGGATTCCTGAGTCAAAGGGTAGTTTATATTACATTTTTTAGATTGCATTCCACACTGCTTTCCAGAATGGTTGAACAAGCTTACATTCCACCAACAGTGTATTAGAGTTCCCTTTTGGCCACATCCTCATCACCATTTGTTGTTGTTTATTTTCTGATGATGGCCTTTCTAACTGGGTGAGGTTCAATTTCAGTGTTGTCAAACTTTATTTTTATGTGACACATAAAACCTAAAACTTACATCTACATATAATGCTATACACAGTAATAAGATATCACATAGTAATTTGATATCTGCAGTACAATATAAGGTTTAAAGCGGGTAAAGCATATTTGTATCCACAAACACTTCAGGAAGAAATTTATCATTAAGGCTTTTAATATGCTTTCTCCATTCTATCAACATAGAAATTAAGAAACCAGTAGCTGTTTCAACTAGAGTGCTAATCAATGATAAATTCACAACTTGAGTTCACAAACTTTGTGCTACCTTTAACAGAAAGAAGTAAATTCCTTAGTATATGGAAAATATGCAGAACAATGTGTGACACATGCTATAAATTCAATAAATGCTGACTAATATTATTACTAATATATAGAGTTTAATAATCTGATATCAAAATTAAGTCATAAAATTTTTTATCCTATCATGCAATCTTGTGAACCACTTTTTAAATGACAGCACATTATCTATAAAATGACTCAGCAATAATTATTTAATTCTTGTTGGTGACTATATTGCTTTTAGTTTTTTTCTTATATTTAGATTTTTTCTCTACTTATATTTATTTATGTTTGGGTACTGGGGTTTTGAACTCAGGGCCTCACTCTTGCTAGGCTGGTATTCTACCACTTGAGCTATGTTTCTAGTAGCTTTTCCCCCTTATATTTAGGTCATTTTAAAACGACAATTTCCTAGGAGTAAAAGTAGGATAAAAATAGGGTTTAAACCTTAATGAATTTAAACATTTTTGTGTTTTTTTATTCACATCTGAAACTACTCTTTAAAAAAAATTCGTATCTGAAACTACTTGCACCATTTGCTCAGTAGCTCAGTATTTACAACTGTCATAGAGCTTATTTACATGAATATGAGCTTGCCCAAAGAAACAGTCAAAACGAATCCCATCATTTTCAATACAATAGACTTTCAAATATCTAAAAATGCACACCTCAGCTTTGCAAACTATGTAAAGCTAAAAATAAGAATAAAAATTCACTTGATCCACTTGTACCATGTACAATCTCTCCATTCTTTTTAGACATTTCACTTCATGATAAATATTTCTAACTTCCCCATGAAAATCACTTGCCTGACAAAGCTTCCAGGCTCTTTAACCATCTGAGTCCTACTCCTAAATACACTCCATTGTTGTCTATGTCTCTCTAACTCTGAAGCTTCCAGACATGGCCTAACCAGTACAGAGCACAGAGGGACTATCACTTTCCTTGACCAGGGCATCTATTTCCAGCAAGGCAGCCTAAGGTCACATTAGCATTTTTGGCACTAACATACACCATTGGCTCATGTTTACATGCTATTGACGAAATCCACCATGACTTTTTCACATGAACTCCCATTAAATGAGGTTGCCCACATCCTGTGCTAATACAGAGCAGTATACAGTTTAGTAATGTTGCTTACTGAGGTTTCTGTTAACTTTATGATTCTTTTTGTCTAATGTACAGCTAAATCGAAATGACAGGCTCCCTATGAAGATATATACTTTTAACCACGACTGACAAAAAAAGATATATACTTTTAAGTATTCTAATGCTGTATCTGTCTTTATTCAATTCATTAAAAAAAGGCATATCTTAAGACAATCAGATGTTCAACCTTTGGTTGCAACCTTTGATTGCAAGAAATCAGTCTTTGGATATAGCTGTTTAGCCATCCATCAACCAGCAACTTGAATCCACCAAGTACCTCAACATTCAACCACATTCATCCATCTTATTCCTAAAGATAGCTAGGAGACTGTTAAATGTCTTGTCAGACATAAATCACTGTATTACAGTGATTTCAGAATTCTGCCTAAGAACTCAGTAAGTCATTTCCAACCTACCACATATCTAAGTTCTTATAAACTAGTACATGTTTATATTAAACTCATAATGATTTCATGTTTATATTTCATGAATCCTCTCTGAAATGATGAATTTCTCATTGGAAAAATCTCTTAATGCTTATGGGTCTTTTTTAAAAAAAAGAGCACAGTGGCAGACTTAGCTAATAAATATTAGTTCAAATTTTAAAACAATGCTAAAAAGTGGTTTGTATGTCCCTCCCCCACAGTATAACCCCCACTTTCATTGTATTTGATGTTGGTATAATTTGGGGAGGGGACCCATTGCAACAATGAGATGTACAAGTCGTTATGTCTAAAAACGAACTTTACAACTTTGGCTGGGGATGGGGTGGGTGGGTAGGAGATGGGAAGGGATGGGAAGGGATGGGAAGGGGAATCAAAGGAGGAGGAGGCAACAATGCTTGATAAGAAATGTACTCATTACCTTGTCCATGTAATTGTAACCCCTCTGTACGATATTTTCACAATAAAAAAATAGAAGGCAAAAATTTTTGAGATCTTTCTTATTCTTAAAAGTATATCCTGGCTGGGAAGGTGGCTCAATGGTAGAGTTCTTGCCTTGTATGCATGAGGCTCTGGGTTTGATTCCTCAGTACCACATAAGCAGAAAAAGCTGGAAGTGGTGCTGTGGTTCAAGTGGTAGAGCACTAGCCTTGAACCAAAGAGCTGAGAGACAGTGCCCAGACCTAGAGTTTAGGCCCCACAACCACCACCACCAACAACAACGAAAGTATATCCTAAAATTTCAAATCAATCTGCAAATTTGCAGATTTGCTTATTGGAATAAAACTAAATTACCAACAAGATAACTATTTTATTGTGCCTATGGGATTACTGTCAACTCTCCAGAAATTTGTCATAAAATAATTAAGACAAAAACAATTCTTTTTGTTCAGAAATGTGAATTGATTTTATTTTAACTTTCAGGGTGCTTATTGGTTCTCCTTTAGTTGGCCAGCCCCAAACCAGAACTGGAGATGTTTATAAATGTCCAGTTGGGAGAGGTGGTTCATTACCTTGTATAAAGTTGGATCTACCAGGTAAGTAAAATTAAAAACAATATATTAAATCTCACTATTCTCAGTGAAAAGGTTTCAAGTGACTAAAAAGACATTATTAGATGTAATCTAGAAGCATTCTTCAGTAAAAATCTGAATTCACATAGAGTTACATCATGATTCCCTCTTCTTTTAGCTTGCTTTAGTAACTATCAAGAAACATCTTTAGATTTAGAATTATTTTTACTAATTTTACCACCTTTGGCACCCCCAGTTCAAAATCCTTTGGTAACATGAAAGAAATTTGCCAAATAAACTTGTTCATCACAATTCTCCCACAAAATTTAATTTAGTGCTTGCTTCTCACACAGAACTAGAACAAGAAAAAGAATGATAGAGTTTGTTAAAAGAATAAGAGCTATTCCCATAAAAGAACAAGGAGATACATTTATAGTAAAACAGATGCATGTGATAGAAGTATCACTGCAGTTAGAACATGACCAGAAAATTCCTTTAGAATTATTCAGGAATTAGAAGAATTAATTCTATGTTCTATAGAATTCGGTGTTCTGTAGAACATTGAATATCATGGAAACAATTTCTTTCTTTTTTCTGGAGATTCTTACCTCTAACCACTCAAAAACTGGAAGTGCTCCACTGTGGCTCAAACTGGTAGAACTCCAGCCTTGAGAAAAAAATCCCAGGGACACTTGCCCAGGCCCTGAGTTCAAGTCACATGACTCTAGTTGCCTTTTAAGATTTCTGATTTTCGTTGTGAACATTATTCTGTGAATATTACTCTGTTTTTGTTCCTCTACCTGAGAATTCCAACTTCAGGAATATCTCAGCATCATTTTCCACTTATTGCTTTTCCTTGAGATTGAGTCACATTTTCTTGCTTCTTTTGTGTTATATATCTGGAACATAATCAGGATTATATTTTTTAATAGAAGAATGGAAGGTCTAGATCCTACTATATATTTTGTATCAACTTTTTGTTTAAACTATTTCATTTGGCTGAACTTAATTATTGAATTCTGACCTTTTTGCAGTGAAAAGCAATTTAAAAATCTCTCTTCAGTTTTTGCTACATCTTCTGCATAACAAAAAAGTCACTTAACCAGTGCCAATCTCCTGTTCCAGGTTCCTCTCTAGCTTCTCTTTGTCTCTTTGCCTTCATGTTTTTTTTTCATAACTATTTTCTTCTTCTCACTAGAATTTACAATAATCATCAGCAAAACAGTTGTTCCTCCACTAATGGAAGCTACATTTTTGTTTTCTAAAATCAGCATAGATATTTAAACAACATCAATAGTAAGACATTTCTACAGTGGCCTGTAATGGTTCCAGCATGCTTATCCTAGCTCAACATTTTTGTAAGAAAAACTCACATCCAGATTATTTGAGGCCAGTGTATAGCAAAGCCCAGTTCCAGGTAGAGAGCACATAAAATTATTGGATATAAACCAATGCTAAGATTACTGTTTTAAACTGACCCTGAATCACAGCTTCATTACCAACTTCTTTTTTTTGCGGGGGGAGGGAGGGTCTGGTCATGGGGGGCCTGAACTCTGGGCTTGGGTGCTGTCCCTCAGCTCTTCCGCTCAAGGCTAGCGCTCTACCACTTGAGCCACAGAGCCATTTCCGGCTTTTTTCTTTTTGCTTATGTGGTGCTGAGGAATCGAACCCAGGGCCCCAGGCATGCAAGACAAGCGCTCTACCACTGAGCCACCTTCCCAGCCCCCAACTTCTTCTTAATGTTACTATTTTTTATTTCTACTACAGTGCTGAGTTTTGAATTCAGGATATTCTTGCTAGGCAGGCATTCTACCACCTGATTTACACTCCATTCCCTTTTGCTTTAGTTATTTTTCAGGTAGAGTTTCTTGGGATTTGCTTTGTTGTTGTTTGGTTTTTGGTTTTGTTTGTTTGGGGTCTAAGGCTAGCTTAGCACCATAATTCTGCTACCTATATACTCCCACATAGTTCAGATGTGGTCTCAATTACTTTTTGCCCAGCCAGTCTCAAATCTTGATCCCCCTGATTACCTCCCATGTAGCTGGGTATACAGGTGTATGTCTGTTGTCAATATAAAGTCTATAGATACAAAGACAGAGATCTTCAGGTAGGGCTCCTTCTAGCTTTGACCAGTGAGGCGCATCTATCTCCAACTTGAAGTATTTATGCAGTCTAGTAATCAGGGTTTAGGAGCTGTTGTTTTGCCTGTCCGGTCTTACAGGTGAAACAGTTTGCTAATTTTGTCAGGTTAGATTACTGGAGGCCCCACCATTCTAGCATGGAATGTCAAGTGTACTCCTTTCATTGAATCCCCTTCACCCAAACTTCCTGGCCACTTCTCTAGGCTTGCTCCAGTTTTCTTTGTAATCTTCATTGTTTGGAAGAATCATGCTGAAAAAATTTTATGTTTGACTTTTCTTTTCTGTTTTACACATCTTCTCTTTCCATCTCAGAAATCACATTTCATCACTGGTTGTTTATAATGAAGAATGTAGGGTTGCTTTGCATTTACAATCTTATAAAACTATGTATTTTATTCATTTTAATTAGCAAAGATGTGTGAAAAGCAGTCTCACATTCTCAGTGCCCTGCTAGTTCTGCATTCTTTCACAGTTCAGCCCAACTATTTGAAACAGTGATACAGACTGTTTCTGGGATTGAAGCCAGCCCCTCAGCCCTCGCTAGTTCATTGTATTCCTTAGTAACACTTGCAAGTCTACCGAGTGGAACCAAAAGAAGAATGTGCTATGATATCAACAAAATAGAATCTTTTAGGGAGAGGGCACTTTCACTTGGCGGAACATGTTTTCACACTTACACTTACTTCTTTGCAGTGAATACATCGATTCCCAATGTCACAGATGTAAAAGAGAATATGACTTTTGGATCAACTTTAGTCACTAACCCAAAAGGAGGGTTTCTGGTAAGAAAGAAGAAAATAATAACACTTTGTAACAACAGGAATACATCATTATGCATCTTGTTATTAAAAATCTGTTCTTTTATCTTATAGTTTTTGTTTTTTTAATTTTTTAAAAGGCATGTGGGCCCTTATATGCTTATAGATGTGGACATTTGCATTACACAACTGGAATCTGTTCTGACATCAGCCCCACATTCCAAGTGGTGAACTCCTTTGCCCCTGTACAAGGTACATATTTTATGCACTATTCTTGCATGTTTGAAAAGCATAAGCAATGAATGAGGCATAAGTATACATAGAAGCATACCAAAAAGCTACAAGCATTTTTTATTTCCATCTGTCACCATTACCAATTTAGGTAAATGTTTGCTTTGCTAGTATATAATAAAGCTGCAATGCTATTGTTGGAATTGATATTAGTGCAAATAACCTCTACAGAGTCAGGTTTGAACTTCTAACCATGTTATGTGTATTTAAAGTTGAGCCTGTTTGAGGAAAGTAACTTCATCTGAAGTATGCTTAGAATGAAAATGTCATCCCAAATTGCTATTGAGAACTTTTCCAGATACAAAATTAATGAAAATTAGAAATAGTTCTGTTTGTTTAAACCCAAACCAACTTTAGATGAATGCACTGAGCATTTCTTACCTCCTTTGCTTTTTCTAAATCCATTATTTTTTTCTAATCATAAAAGCAGTAGGTCCAGTCTATAGCATATTAGCTTACCAATTAAAATGAATTTCTTTGCCCCATTTGTTAGGAAATGGAAAGACTTGGAAAAAATTATATTAAGTGAAGTAAGCCAGGCCCAAAGAAACATAGGTCCCATGATTTCCCTTATTTGCAATAACTAGTGTATGTCTGAGACAAGCAGAAATGGTCAGATAAGTTGATGTTAGGTGAAATGAACCCCAAGATAAGAATTCAAATGTTTTTTTTCATTCTTGTGATGTGTCTAACATATTTATAAAATGATTTCTTTGTTGCTTTGTATGTCCTTCCCCCACAGTATAACCCCTGCTTTCATTGTATTTGATGTTGGTATAATTTGTGGAGGGGAAGGGCAAAAACAAACTGTTTAACTAGAGATACAAGTGGACCCATTGCAACAATGAGATATACAAGTCCTTATGTTGAGAAACGAACTTTACATCTTTGGCAGGCGGGGCGGGGGGTGGGGGAGGGTTGGATGGAAAAGGGATGGGAAGGGGAAACAAAGGAGGAGGCTACAATGCTTGATAAGAAATGTACTCATTATCTTGCCCATGTAATTGTAACCCCTCTCAGTATTTTCACAATAAAAAATTAAAAATAAATAAATAAATAAAAGGAATTTCTTCCCACCATGAAAAGTTTCTCACCCCTCTCAAAAGAAGGTTCTGAGTTTGCATAATCACCTCTTCCTATTTCAGAGTGCAGTACACAGCTGGACATAGTCATCGTTCTGGATGGCTCCAACAGCATTTACCCCTGGGAAAGTGTCACAGCTTTTTTAAATGACCTTCTCAAAAGAATGGACATTGGTCCGAAACAAACACAGGTACATAGCTCTGGGTTTATATTTCTCTTGTTCTAAACAAAAAATTTTAAACGCTTTTATTGAATATGAATATTTGAAAAATAGTCTAACTCATAAAGGTAAACTAAGGATGAATTTTACATTCTATAGCCATGATTTTATTTAAGATCATATTATTTCCTAAAGAGGAAATGTGAAAGTTGCCATTCTCAGTGTTCTCAGAAACTATCCTCAATTTATCTCTATAAAGTCATAATTTAATTCTCAATTATGTAACAAATGAACTTACCTTCAGTGATATCGGAGAAGAGTTTCAGAGTTTGTAGAGAAAGTTTAAAATTACCTATAATCTCTTTTCTCATTCTAGATAAACAAATTAGTAATTGACTACTGGATATTTATTGAAGTATATTTTTCTCTGTATTAATACTTGCTTTTGTTGGTGGTGGTGGTGTAGTCACCTGGGCACTGTCCCTGACTTTTGTTTGGCTCAAAGCTAACCCTCTACCACTTTGAGCCACAGCTCTACTTCTGGTTTCAGTTGGTTAACTGGAGATAAGAGTCTCATAGACTTGCTTGCCCAGGTTGGCCTCAAACCAGATCTCAGCCTCCTGAATAGGAGGATTATAGGAGTGAGCCACCAGCATCCAGCTTATACCTGCTTTTTGCCTTAAATAAAAAATAGTGCTCCAGGTTCTGGGGGACAGAAAGCTGAATATCTACTCTTGCTATTCTATAAATAAGTACATATTTTAAACCCAGCCCCTTTATTGTCTTTAACAAAGTGGAACACGTCCCACTGTTCTTCCATATTAGACACTAAATTTCTAATTAATTTAATATTGATTAAAATAATACAGTGACAAATCCAAAAGAGTAGATAACAGGAAAAATGGATAACAAGTAATCAGTGCCTAGAGGGAAGGAATTAGCAATGGCATCAGTCTAAAAGGCTGCTGTGTGGATCGGGAGTGGTAGAAAAACATAGGGGGACTGTAAGATAGTGTGTACTGTCTGCTGTTCTTCCCTTTCCATCTGAGACTGTTTTGGGAGTGGCACCAATTATTGTCACACCCACACAAGAATTGAGACAAAGTATACACACACACACACACACACACACACACACACACACACAGCTATGCATCTAGGTGTATCTTTGTAGGAATCTCACTTATTTCTGTCTTTCTCTGCACACACATACATATGTGTATACAGGTATATATATATATATATATAATTTTAAAAAGTGATGGTAGTTGAAGGTTTCACTTTGGAACTCAAAGTTTAAAGTGAAATGTCATTTTCTTAAGATCCTAAATTGCATAGAGTAGGTGGAAGAGTAAGGTTATCTATTTATCTATCTATCTGTCTATCTGTCTGTCTATCTATCTGTCTATCTATCTATCTATCTATCTATCTATCTATCTATCTATCCATCCCATTGAACAATACAGAATTTCTTGAAAGCAGCGTAAAATTATTAAAGGAAGTGTGCTTTTATTTATCACAAATTGCAAATTTTTCAGTAGATTCAATTTCTCAAGCACAGTTGACCTTCTCAAGTAAATCACTAGAAGTTTTGAGAGAATATTGTCTCTCTTCTTAACATGAGGTGTAAAGCAGCCTGATTCTATATCCATCCAAGAACTTTGGTTTGCTCTTTCTTCTGGCACCTGTTCTCTCTGGACCCTGTTTCTTTTCTTTCTGTACTTCTCAAGACCTCTCTCTCTGTCTCTTTTCATTCCTCCTTTTCTTATTTTTCTGTCATCCTCAGCTTGATCAGTAAGATTTCACCGAAAACTAGGAGGAATCTTGAAAGTCATTGAGCTTCCCACATCAATGTGTGAAGGGTTCAAGAGAAGGTAGATGGCGTGTTCAAGGTCACTTTGCTTGCTGATGACACATCAGCTCACAAGTTCTTGAATTGTAGTCCCCAAGATTTTTCTATCTAAGAGCTCTACTTTCTAAGTTTCCAGACTGGTCTCACTTCTACCACACCCTGACTGTCCTCCTTCCCCAGACTCCCCTCCACCTCAATCATACCAGGTTTCCCAGATTTTCCAAGTTCCAATCTCATCACTGTCAGAGCTCAAATGTTATCATTTTTGTTACCCCTGCCTCAAGATGGTTTTGCTAACAAGTGTTTTCTTTCCTTCCACCTGTTTTATGTCTGTTACATCTATTGTACCTTTTTAGCCAATCTTCTCGTTCCAAACCTAATAACATTCTTGCTGTTTTTGAATTTTCTAATATTGCATGGCAAACTACTTGTTTAGTTTTATCATTCAATTTGCTTTCCTATTTTACTGCACAAATGGTATGTAAGTACTTGTGGCTGTGGCATGTTTGAAGTTGCCTCACAACTCCTAAAAGAAAAATCTCAAAACTGATTTAAAAATAATAACTATTGCTTCAATGAAGATTAGCATCAATGATTCAGTTCTGGAAGAAAAGAACAGTTACTTGTTCATGTGCCTGATTGATTCTGTAGAAATTTTTATGTTTTTCATTATCAGAGCCATGAATTAATTTGTCTTACTAAGAGTTCTAAGAAGAGCTATTTTACTTGTCTATCAGCGGAATTCCATGCTAGAATGGGCTTCACAGAGTTCTGTGTCTTTTTTAGAGATAACAATGACTCTATTCAGAGGCATGGGAGCCAGTCCTTAGAGCCCAGATACTACAATGAATAGAGAGAATGAACTTACCCTGAGGATGAAGCATAGAGTCAATGTCACTTAGTTCCAGAACTCCATTCCATTTGCAATATCTAGTATATGTCTAAGTCAAGCAGAAAAGGTCAGATAAGTTGATGTTAGGGAAATGAACCCTAAGATATGTATTCAAATGTTTTTTTCTTTCATGCGATTGTTTCTAACACATTTATAAGATTATTTCTTTGTTGCTTTGTATGTCCCTCCCCCACAGTATAAGCCCTGCTTTCACTGTATTTGATGTCGATATAATTTGTAGAGGGGAAGGGGAAAAACAAATCGTTTAAGTAGGGATACAGGTGGACCCATTGAAACAATGAGATGTACAAGTCGTTATGTCGAAAATGAACTTTACAACTTTCATGTGAGGGGGCGGGGGGAGGATGGGAAGGGATGGGAAGGGGAAACAAAGGAGGAGGCTACAATGCTTGATAAGAAATGTACTCATTATCTTGCCCATGTAATGTTAACTCCTCTGTACAGTATTTTCACAATAAAATAAGAACTCCATTCCACTGTATAACACTGTGAGCATGGTCATTTGTAATATTTTCTAACTTTGCCCAAGAGAACCTGCTACCTGAAAAGAGAAAATGGCTGCATTTATGGGGTTTTTGTTTGTTTTGTCGGTCCTGGGTTTTGAACTCTGGCCCTGGGAGCTGTCCCTGAGCTCTTTGGCTCAAAGTGAGTGCTCTACCATTTGAGCCACAGTACCACTCCCAGTTTTCTGGTGGCTAATTGGAGATAAGAGTGTCACAGACTTTCCTGCCCAGGCTGGCTTTGAACCGCAATCCTCAGATCTCAGCCTCGTGTGTAGCTAGGATTACAGGCATGAGCCACCAGCACCTGGCTTAGTTATGATTTTTAATAATTATATTTTATTGTTATTGTGGAGGTGATATACAGACATGTGACAGTTACGTGCCTCAGGTAATAAGTACATTTCTTTTTGAACCATGTCTCCCCTCCCTCACTCCCTCCCAGTTTTTCCATCCTATGAGTACCACTGCTATATATGTCTCACTTTTTTCTGTGCCCCACTTTACCTTCCTAAAGACAAATAAGCTAACAAGAAAAAAGGGAAAGGCAACAACAAAGTCTCTTCTTTCCAGCATTTGAAGTTAATTTCATAAAATATTACTTTATATGATCATATGCACATGAAGAAATGTTCAACATCTCTGGCCATAAAAAATAAAATACCAATTTTTACGTGACATTTTCCATGTTTCACTTATTGTGATGCTTAACTACACGCATTCAATTATTCAGATGTGTGTACTGAAGGTGCATTATGTACCAGCTCTGTGCTACAAATTGGTTAAAGGTAAAAATGAGGAAGACATGGCTGTTACTGATGAAGACATGGCTGTTACTTAATGACACTTCTGACTGATATAGTTACTCAACTTGTGGCTCCTCAAGTTTCTGCTTTCCAGTATAGACATGCTTGAACCATGTGCCAGCCTTTTAGAATCAGCATCTTTAGGTGGAGGGTAAAGGTGTTCTTATGGAACCCGTGTTTTAAAATAAGAAACACATGCCATGTGAAAGCAGATTAAAGTTTGGGAAACACCAGACTAATGAATTTTGTTGTGTCACATACTCTAGATCATACAAGTCTACACTATCTTTTTACCTTCAGCCGTGACCAGCCCTGTACTCTGGGTAATATTGAGCCCTCAGTAATCACTAAAGGTACATGTCATAATTTGTGCAGTGCCATAATTTTCTCTAGTGGTAGAACTTTAATATGATATTTTTCCTATTGACTCACATTAAAATGTTCTTTTATGTTTATTAAGATAGTTTTTAGTCTTTTATTTATATTTTATTTTCTCATTTTTTGTTTGGCTTAAGCTACATCAATGACATTTTATGAATAATTTTCTAAGAAATTTGGAAAGGCCTAGTAACTAAGCGATTACATTTGTTAAACATTTTTTTAATGAGATTTTTAACTAGGTACTTCAACACTTTAAAGTTCGGCATTCTTTCAGTAGACTCAAAAAAGAAATTAATTCATAAAAAATTGGAATGATACTCTCACTTCAAAGAAATCTGCATCGAATAACATGCTACTTTTCATTGGCCTCACGGAAATTCTGTCTCAAAACAGACTATTTGTTTTGACAGTCATTTTTTTCCCTAATAAGTGGCTAACATAATTTAAGCATGCTTAATGTATTCTTTTGTTTTGGGGGGGTTCTTCAGTTTGCTTGTTTGTTTTAATTAAAGCATTCAATTCTTGATTGCAAAAATTATCTTCTAGCATTTTTCCTCTTCTTCACTCACCCTTTCTAG